GAAAGGAAGCATTGAAGAAAGATAGGGAGAAAAGGAGATAGGGAAGGAGAGATAAAAAATATAAGATAATGAAGGAGGGGAAGAGAAGGGGGGGGGGTTGGAGAGAGGAAGGAATGAATAATGAGAGGGAGAGTTACGCAGCAGTAGAGAATGAGAGACATAACGTTGGAGGGGAGAGGAGAGAGAGAGAGAGAGAGAGAGAAGAGAGGAGAGAGAGAGGAGAGAGAGAGAGAGAGAGAGAGAGAGAGAGAGAGATAGGAGAGAGAGAGAGAGAGGAGAGGAGAGAAGAGAGAGAAGAGAGAGAGAGGAGAGAGAGAGAGAGAGAGAGAGAGAGAGAGAAGAGAGACAGGACAGAGAGAGACAGAGACAGATACAGAGACAGACAAACAAACAGACAGACAGACAGACAGACAGAGAGGAGGAGAAAGCAGACAAAATGTATATGCATTCCCCCTGAGAACATCCTGGAGCAGAAACTACGTGCTGAGAATATCAACCTGACACCATCACCACAACCACCACCACAACCACCACCACAACCATCACCACTACCCTCTCATCACCACGACGACCACAACCACCACCACAACCATCACCACTATCCTCTCACCACCACGACGACCACAACCACCACCACAACCATCACCACTACCCTCTCACCACCACCACGACCACCACCATTTGTCCTGACATTTTACATCAGCCGCTGCCCAACCTTGCTGACGTTGGCTGATGTTGCCCATCACTGGCTGATGCTTACTGATGTTGGTTGAAATTGGCAGCCTTTTGCTGTAGTTGGCTGATGTTGACTGTCAGTGGTTAGTTAACTGATGATGTCTCTCACTGCCTGTCGTTGGCTGATGTCTCTCACTGCCTGTCGTTGGCTGTCTCTCACTGCCTGTCGTTGGCTGATGTCTCTCACTGCCTGTCGTTGGCTGTCTCTCACTGCCTGTCGTTGGCTGATGTCTCTCACTGCCTGTCGTTGGCTGATGTCTCTCACTGCCTGTCGTTGGCTGATGTCTCTCACTGCCTGTCGTTGGCTGGAGTCTCTCATTGCCTGTCGTTGGCTGATGTCTGTCACTGCCTGTCGTTGGCTGGTGTCTCTCACTGCCTGTCGTTGGCTGATGTCTCTCACTGCCTGTCGTTGGCTGATGTCTCTCACTGCCTGTCGTTGGCTGGTGTCTCACTGCCTGTCGTTGGCTGGTGTCTCACTGCCTGTCGTTGGCTGATGTCTCTCACTACCTGTCGTTGGCTGATGTCTGTCACTGCCTGTCGTTGGCTGGTGTCTCTCACTGCATGTTGTTGGCTGGTGTCTCTCACTGCCTGTCGTTGGCTGGTGTCTCTCACTGCATGTTATTGGCTGGTGTCTCTCACTGCATGTTGTTGGCTGGTGTCTCTCACTGCATGTTATTGGCTGGGGGTCTCTCACTGCATGTTATTGGCTGGTGTCTCTCACTGCATGTTGTTGGCTGGTGTCTCTCACTGCATGTTGTTGGCTGGTGTCTCTCACTGCATGTTGTTGGCTGGTGTCTCTCACTGCCTGTCGTTGGCTGGTGTCTCTCACTGCCTGTCGTTGGCTGGTGTCTCTCACTGCCTGTCGTTGGCTGGTGTCTCTCACTGCATGTTATTGGCTGGTGTCTCTCACTGCATGTTGTTGGCTGGTGTCTCTCACTGCATGTTGTTGGCTGGTGTCTCTCACTGCATGTTGTTGGCTGGTGTCTCTCACTGCATGTTGTTGGCTGGTGTCTCTCACTGCCTGTCGTTGGCTGGTGTCTCTCACTGCATGTTATTGGCTGGTGTCTCTCACTGCATGTTGTTGGCTGGTGTCTCTCACTGCATGTTATTGGCTGGTGTCTCTCACTGCATGTTATTGGCTGGTGTCTCTCACTGCATGTTGTTGGCTGGTGTCTCTCACTGCATGTCGTTGGCTGGTGTCTCTCACTGCATGTTGTTGGCTGGTGTCTCTCACTGCATGTTATTGGCTGGTGTCTCTCACTGCATGTTATTGGCTGGTGTCTCTCACTGCATGTTATTGGCTGGTGTCTCTCACTGCATGTTGTTGGCTGGTGTCTCTCACTGCATGTTATTGGCTGGTGTCTCTCACTGCCTGTCGTTGGTTGGTGTCTCTCACTGCATGTTATTGGCTGGTGTCTCTCACTGCATGTTGTTGGCTGGTGTCTCTCACTGCATGTTATTGGCTGGTGTCTCTCACTGCCTGTCGTTGGCTGGTGTCTCTCACTGCATGTTATTGGCTGGTGTCTCTCACTGCCATGTTGTTGGCTGGTGTCTCTCACTGCATGTTATTGGCTGGTGTCTCTCACTGCATGTTGTTGGCTGGTGTCTCTCACTGCATGTTGTTGGCTGGTGTCTCTCACTGCATGTTGTTGGCTGGTGTCTCTCACTGCCTGTCGTTGGCTGGTGTCTCTCACTGCATGTTATTGGCTGGTGTCTCTCACTGCATGTTGTTGGCTGGTGTCTCTCACTGCATGTTATTGGCTGGTGTCTCTCACTGCATGTTGTTGGCTGGTGTCTCTCACTGCATGTTATTGGCTGGTGTCTCTCACTGCATGTTGTTGGCTGGTGTCTCTCACTGCATGTTGTTGGCTGGTGTCTCTCACTGCATGTTATTGGCTGGTGTCTCTCACTGCATGTTATTGGCTGGTGTCTCTCACTGCATGTTATTGGCTGGTGTCTTCACTGCATGTTTGTTGGCTGGTGTCTCTCACTGCCTGTCGTTGGCTGGTGTCTCTCACTGCATGTTATTGGCTGGTGTCTCTCACTGCATGTTGTTGGCTGGTGTCTCTCACTGCATGTTGTTGGCTGGTGTCTCTCACTGCATGTTGTTGGCTGGTGTCTCTCACTGCATGTTATTGGCTGGTGTCTCTCACTGCCTGTTATTGGCTGGTGTCTCTCACTGCATGTTATTGGCTGGTGTCTCTCACTGCATGTTATTGGCTGGTGTCTCTCACTGCCTGTTATTGGCTGTCGTTAACTGATGTTGTCTTTTACTGGCTGTCTCTCACTGGTTGTCGTTGAGATTTTTTATCCGTCCGGTAAATATTTTTACATGAATAATTATTTTTAACACTGAGGCAGTCTCTCACCGAGGCAGTCTCTCACCGAGGCAGTCTCTCACCGAGGCAGTCTCTCACCGAGGCAGTCTCTCACCGAGGCAGTCTCTCACCGAGGCAATCTCTCACCGAGGCAGTCTCTCACCAAGGCAGTCTGTCACCGAGGCAGTCTCTCACCGAGGCAGTCTCTCACCGAGGCAATCTCTCACCGAGGCAGTCTCTCACCAAGGCAGTCTGTCACCGAGGCAATCTCTCACCGAGGCAGTCTCTCACCGAGGCAGTCTCTCACCGAGGCAGTCTCTCACCGAGGCAGTCTCTCACCGAGGCAGTGTCTCACCGAGACAGTCTCTCACCGAGGCAGTCTCTCACCGAGGCAGTCTCTCACTGAGGCAGTCTCTCACTGAGGCAGTCTCTCACTGAGGCAGTCTCTCACTGAGGCAGTCTCTCACCGAGGCAGTCTCTCACTGAGGCAGTCTCTCACCGAGGCAGTCTCTCACCGAGGCAGTCTCTCACTGAGGCAGTCTCTCACCGAGGCAGTCTCTCACTGAGGCAGTCTCTCACTGAGGCAGTCTCTCACTGAGGCAGTCTCTCACTGAGGCAGTCCCTCACCGAGGCAGTCTCTCACTGAGGCAGTCTCTCACCGAGGCAGTCTCTCACCGAGGCAGTGTCTCACCGAGACAGTCTCTCACCGAGGCAGTCTCTCACTGAGGCAGTCTCTCACCAAGGCAGTCTCTCACTGAGGCAGTCTCTCACCGAGGCAGTGTCTCACCGAGACAGTCTCTCACCGAGGCAGTCTCTCACCGAGGCAGTCTCTCACCGAGGCAGTCTCTCACCGAGGCAGTCTCTCACTGAGGCAGTCTCTCACCGAGGCAGTCTCTCACTGAGGCAGTCTCTCACCGAGGCAGTCTCTCACCAAGGCAGTCTGTCACCGAGGCAATCTCCCCCGAGGCAGTGTCTCACCGAGACAGTCTCTCACCGGGCAGTCTCTCACGAGGCATTTCTCTCCACTGAGGCAGTCTCTCACTGAGGCAGTCTCTCACTGAGGCAGTCTCTCACTGAGGCAGTCCCTCACCGAGGCAGTCTCTCACCGAGGCAGTCTCTCACCGAGGCAGTCTCTCACTGAGGCAGTCCTCACCGAGGAAAGTCTCTCACTGAGGCAGTCTTTTCACCGAGGCAGTCTCTCACCTAGGCAGTCTCTCACCTAGGCAGTCTCTCACCAAGGCAGTCTCTCACCAAGGCAGTCTCTCACTGAGGCAGTCTCTCACCAAGGCAGTCTCTCACCAAGCAGTCTCTCACCGGGGGCAGTCTCTCATGAGGCAGTCTCTCACCGAGGCAGTCTCTCACTGAGGCAGTCTCTCACCGAGGCAGTCTCTCACCAAGGCAGTCTCTCACCTAGGCAGTCTCTCACCAAGGCAGTCTCTCACCAAGGCAGTCTCTCACTGAGGCAGTCTCTCCCCAAAGGCAAGTTCTCTCACCAAGGCAGTCTCTCACTGAGGCAGTCTCTCACCAAGGCAGTCTCTCACCAAGGCAGTCTCTCACCAAGGCAGTCTCTCACTGAGGCAGTCTCTCACCGAGGCAGTCTCTCACCGAGGCAGTCTCTCACTGAGGCAGTCTCTCACCGAGGCAGTCTCTCACCGAGGCAGTGACTTGTCGGATGAAAACACTTTCACTCTCACACATTCAATCAACAGCATTAACAACGAAAATAATATTCATTTGGTTAGTTTGGTTTGAAGCCTGTCCACTACACGAGGGTCATTAGGGGTGCATGAACTCTGGTGGAGTACAGGTTACATGAAGCCTCAGTGACCCTCGTGTAGTCGGTAGGGTTTAAACCTACTAAACAAATCAACTATATGGATCCCATATTCCTTCCGCCTAAATTTACAAACGGAGTAAAGGTATTCGTGCCATTGCGTGATTTCACAGAGTTCCAGACCCGTCAATGGTTCCTTCACTTTTTCCAGATCAACAAGAGGATCCCACATCCGTGTCATTGCGTGATCTCACAGCGTTCCAGATCCTTCAATGGTTCTGTCACTTTTGCCAGATCAACAGAAGAATCCCGTATCCATGCCAGTGCGTGATCTTTTAGCTTTCCAGATCCGTCAATGGTTCTGCCACCTTTTCCAGATCAACAAAAGAATCCCGTATACATGCCATTGCTTGATCTCACAGCTTTCCAGACCCGTCAGTGGTTCTGTCACCTTTTCCAGATCAACAAAAGGATCCCACATCTCTTCAACTCTCAGATCTCTCGCCTTTCGAGACTAACAAATGGACCGCTGCGCTTTTCCAGGCCAATGGCTGGAACTCTCGCCTCTCCATAACAACAAATCGATCCCACACGTTTCCAGAATCTCTGCATATTGCAAGCTGGACTCCTTTGGGACCAGGTTTGATGCCCAAAGCTAGACATATGGGGACCACATTTGGGACCACGCTTTATCAGACCAGCGGCTGAGTCCCTCATTTCTGCCGGTCTGTGACCGTGGTCTCTGTTCCTGATGTGTCATCTAACTCACTTTCCAGAACTGTCATGTGGTCTCCAAGGTGCCACGAAATTATATCTCGATTCCCGGCTGGCTGGCTTGCCGGCTGGCTGGCCGGCTGGCTGGCTGGCAGGCTGGCTGGCTGACTGACTGACTGGCTGGCTGGCTGGCTGATTGGCTGGCTGTCTTGGCGGCTGGCTTGCTTGCTTGCTGACTGACTGGCTGGTTGCCTGACTAGATGGAATATTGATTGACTGACTAATCAACTAGTTGATGGAGTAGATAACTATTGTGTGTCTGTTTGACTAGTTGAATGTGGCGGATAACATGTCGACAGACACACGGCGACACACACCACACACACACACACACACACACACACACACACACACACACACACACACACACACACACACACACACACACACACACACACACACACACACACACACACACACACACACCTTCTCTCTCTCTCTCTCTCTCTCTTTGGTTCAACCTACGCTATCCTGACCGACGATAAACTATTCTGACCCAGGTTCATCTCTTCCAACCCACGCTAACCTATCCGAATCTACGCTCTCCTATGGCGACCAAAGGTGACCTAAACACAACAGCTGGTGTTATGGGATGCAGCGCGAGTAGTGGATGCTGTCAGTCTTAAACTTTTCTTGTTTTCTCTTAACAGAATTTTGTTTTCAGGCTGGGATGTGTAAAGTTCGTTTTCGACAATGTCAGTTTAGTTGTATGTCCTGTCAGCATAGTTTTAGGTCTTGTCAGCTTAGTTGTAGGTCCTTTCAGCTTAGTTTTAGATTCTGTCAGCTTAGTTGTAGGTCCTTCCAGCATAGTTGTAGGTCATTCCAGCATAGTTGCAGGTCCTTCCAGCATAGTTGTAGGTCCTTTCAGCATAGTTATAGGTCCTTCCAGCATAGTTGTAGGTCCTTTCAGCTTAGTTGTAGGTTCGGCCAGCTTAGATGTACGTCCTACCAACTTAGTTATAGCTTCTACCAGCTTAGTTTTAAGTCCTGGTAACTTAGATATATGGTCTTGCCAGCTTTAATAAAAGTTCAGCCAGATTCGTCATACATCATGACACCAGCAATAGTTCATCTTATCTCGGTAATAACTTAGATCAGCTCATTTACAAGTCCCTCCATTATTTTTATATATCCATTATTAACAGCGTTTGATGGGGAGTTTAGAGTGACTATTAACCAACATGATAACTGCGACACAGAACTTTCTGGTGACAAGGTCAACTAGATTTGCAATTTGCCATGAAGGGATTGTTGCTATTTTTTTTTACTCTGAGATGGTTCTAGAAGTGTAAGCAGAGTTGCAATAATAAACTAGACACACGTGCAACGCTTGGGTATGTTTATTGAGGAAACGTTTCGCCACACAGTGGCTTCATCAGTCCTATAAAAAGAAGAAGATCAGAAGGAGTTTGACGTAATTAGTCCCTCAGCCACTGTGTAGCGACACGTTTCCTCGATAAAGATACCTAAATATTGCACATGTGTCTAATTTATCAACCTGTCGGTTCTCTGAACCATTTATCTACATTAGAGTTGCAATACTGTATTTCTGCAGGGTGCTTCTCACTGCATCATCCACAGGGTGCTTTTCATACCCCTGTCATGGGATGCCTTTCTCACAAAACGGTTTGCAAAGGGATCCTTTGCAATAAATCTGATATTCCCTTTTTATCTGCTTTTATGAAAAAACCCTGAGTGTTTGACTTTGCACAAGTAGCCATCTTTTGTATTTAGCATTAATCTTCTCTATATCGCCGTTGTCTCTTCAATGTAGCGACCCGAAAGCTTTATCAACGTCTTCATTTATATTTTATTTGCTGTCCAGTGTTTAGTTAAGTACAAACAATAAAATATAACTTTAAAACTGGAAGAGTATGCAAATATATACGGGTAAATAACCTCTGGGGAATTTAAAAAGCCCTACTAAGTCATTATTCCTTCTTATATGTTTGTTTTTTTAAAGGCACCGGACTTGATCAATGCTATCCGTTTGGCCCGGTGGCGTCTCGACAGAACTTCAAGTCGAATTATGAACTGGATCAAACACCTCGTGGCAGTACTTCGGCTCCTCTATGGCTTCCTTTCAGCACCCTGTGAGTCAACGATGCCGGGGGTAGCTTTTGGACCTTCGTAATTAAAGGTTAAGTGGTAAGTTGCTTGCAGATGAGAGTCAGAGAGAGCGGAGGAGTGAGAGAGCTGAGGAGGAGCGAGGAGATTGAAGTAGAAGGATAGAGGATAGAGAGGAGAGTGATGAGAGAGAGGAGAGAGAGAGAGAGAGAGAGAGAGAGAGAGAGAGAGAGAGAGAGAGAGAGAGAGACGGTAAGAGATCCCCTGAGATGACTCATGAAATCGTAATATTTAGATGTTTTACTTGCTGGTTACTCTGTTAGCGATTTCTCTGACCGCTGTATAAAAGATTAAGGGAACAAGAACGGTCTCAGACCAAAACAAAACCGTTGAAACCATATGTGTGTGTGTGTGTGTACTTAACTATTTGTGGTTGCAGGTGTCGATTCACAGTTCCTAGCACCGTCTCTGCGCTGATCGCTACTAAGTCCACTCTCTCCCTGCACCAAGAGCTTTATCGTGTGTGTGTGTGTGTTGTGTGTGTGTGTGTTGTGTGTGTGTGTGTGTGTGTGTGTGTGTGTAAAATAGAAAGGATGACAGATTGACAAACATGGAAGGAAAACGTAACCAGCAGATGGGAGACTGATCAAATATCTGTGTCAGTTCCCTGAACACAAAACCTCACGTAAAGATTGACACACAATGACGAAGGTTCTCCCTGCTGCACTTTCCTCATTATTCGTCCCCTTACATTCTCCCTCTCTCTTTTTCTCTTTTAACTTCTCTCCCTCCCTTTCTCCCTCTCTCTCTCTGACCCTCTCTCTCTCTCTCTCCTAACCTTTCCTTCACTTTCTCCCTCTTTTCTCTTCGCTTTTTTTACCTTTCTCTCTCTTTATGTAGTTATCTTACTGTTAATGTGATCGACGTTTAAATACAATGTCTGCTGAGGAAAATCTAAAGTTTATTATAAAAATAAGAATATTTATGAGCAACCGAAAGTTGGAGAACTAAATTACTCTTGTGAAAGAACAAGCAAACTCTCACATGTAATACAATACAAAAAGAAAATAATAATAAACAAAAAACAGTAATTAATCCCTAAAATATCACGAAATAGTCAAGAAGCAATGAAAATATAAAAAAAAAAAAATATTTACGCTAATGGTATACAGTAGGAAGGAAGACATTTCCAACACTTCGATGTCTTTTGTGAAGACTTGTTAAGGAAAGGAGTTATTGGGCCTTTATTGGAAGGCGTCTGCAGACTGATTCGTAGCAAAAAAAGAAATGGTTTCTTTCTCATCCTCCTGTTTTCGCAATGGAAAACGATACCGGCAGATCCAGGCGATAGGTAAGGGCCAAAAAGTATCGCATTAAAACCTTAGCAAAACTGGGTCAGCTGAAGCATTCGCCGCCCTCAAGCCTCGGAAGGGGAGTTCCTGTCTGCTGGTGACGGAGGCTTGACCTTAGGATTTAGAATTACCCTTCCACTTCTTAGGATCAAAATTGACTGCCTCGCACTCCACAGCTCCCGTATGATCCTTACGGGTTCAGCTGTTGTTGATTTATTAGTTAGGAAAGAAGGCACGTGTTTCCCGACAAGGGTCTTACTCATAAAGATGATCTATTGTACAAGAAGTGATTGTTTGTTTGTGTCGTTATTCGTCAGGAAACAGGACCAGTGGACTTATTTAGTGTTTTCAAAAGAACACATACATGAATAACATGCCCATAGGAAAGAGAAGCTTATGACGACGTTTCGGCCCGATCTGGACCATACACAAGTGTGTCATGTAAACGGTGCAAGTCGGACCGAAGCGTCGTCGTAACCTTTTCTCTCCTACGTGCGGGTTGTTTGTGTATTGTTTGTCACGGTATTGTGCTCTTTTTGTTCTAAATAAATACATGTTGAGTAACAATCGCCTCCCCAAGAAAAATCAATGCAACGTAGTTATGCAAATTATTATCCATATTACCTAAATTTTAGCAACGTTAAGTTAGACTGCCATGTTATTTTGATTGCAAAATATAAAGGAAAGTGTAAATCAAAGCCATTTATCATAGTGATTTAGAATCAGTCAGTTTTTATTGGTCGAGTCAGGGATTTCTCCATAGAGACTCGTGATTGTGGTCGCAGTTACTGGCCATCACCACCCTTCCCAGGATTCTGCTTGGAGAAATCTTGTGACACTTGTGCGCCCGTGGGTTCGAATTCCGATCACCCCTTTGATTTAGCACATTCGTTCATTACTAATTTTCAGTACATGTGTTTTCGCACGATTTTAACTGATATATACTTGTATAGTATATCAATCCTGTGTAATGGAGACAGCTATATTTTGTTCCCAATCTTCAGCTATTATATAGAATGGTGTAGCAGCACTCTATGGTGGCTCCCAATATACAATAATGCACCACTGATGTATCCATTTTTTTTTGTTTAAAATTCTGACTTCTAGACTCTAAGCGAGAAACTGTTCAATCAGCCACACACTCTTCGATACCACACCCCTCCTCACATTTTGTTAACTACACACTGTCCCACAAACTACTCACAGTCCCCATTCTATCCCACAGACCACTCACAGTCCCCACTCTCTCCCACAGACCACTCACAGTCCGAACTCTCTCCCACAGACCACCCACAGTCCCCACTCTTTCCCACAGACCACTCACAGTCCCCACTCTCTCCCGCACAGCGTCTTCCTGGGTGATGGACGAGAAGGATCCTGACCTCTACGATGCTCGCCTCCGCTCCTGGTACATCGAGGCGGCCAACAGCCCTAAGGACATGATTATTCTTCTCGATGTGTCAGGTGGGTTGTTGATCTCTCTCTCCCTCTCTCTCTCTCTCTCTCTCTCTCTCTCTCTCTCTCTCCTCTCTCTCTCTCTCTCTCTCTCTCTCTCTCTCTCTCTCTCTCCTCTCTCTCTCTCTCTCTCTCTCCTCTCCTCTCTCGCTCCCTCTCTCTTTCTCTGTCTCTCTTAACACACAAGGTTTCACAAGGTTAAGTAAAGGATTCCAAACTTTATTTAAAAACTAAGACTCTCTCATATGCTTTTATATTCTTGACTCATATTACGTAGATAATACACGATTATCTTTTATAGATTAAAGTAGATATTTCTATTCATCAGACAGCCACGGAGTAGACTTGCAAGTCTTCTACTGTTTGACTTTGCCTTGTACTTCTGTATATTCACTCGACTCCCACCCCACACAGGCTCCATGACAGGACTGCGTCGGGAGATCGCCAAGCATGTGGTGTTGAACATCTTGGAGACACTGAACGAGAACGACTTCGTCAACGTCTTCAATTTCAGCGTGGAGACCCTGGAGCTGGTGCCTTGCTTCAGAGACACTCTGGTCCAGGTGAGTGTGTGTGTGTGTGTGTGTGTGTGTGTGTGTGTGTGTGTGTGTGTGTGTGTGTGTGTGTGTGTGTGTGTGTGTGTGTGTGTGTGTGTGTGTGTGTGTATGTGTGTGTGTGAGTGTGTTTGTGACCGCCAGGTCCACCTTTCCTAACTCTGAGTCTGCTCTACCCACCTTTTCAGTCCCTACAGTATTTTGATAAATTAGACACACGCGCAACACTTTGGTATCATTATTGTGGAGACGTCCAGTACAAAGAAGAATAGTATTTTCTAGTTATCATGTCATTAAGGCCCTTTTGCAGTTTAATACCATCAGGTTTAATTATTTTAGTCTTTCCTCATAATTCTTACCCCTGAGTTCTGGGATTAGTCTCTTTGCAAACTACTGCACTTTTTCTGGTGTCTTGACCTGCTTCATCAGGTGTAGGTTTTGTATTGGCGCTGCTTACTTCTAGGTTTGCTTGACATATGCCATACATAGTGTTGTGAAGGATTCCTCGTTGAGATTCCTGAAGGATAATCTTAGATTTCCCAGAACGGCATTTGCTGTTGAGGTTATTCAGTTGATGTGCGCCTCAGGTGATATGCTCGGTAGTATGCTCACCTCCGAGATCCTTCTCCTTAAGTGAGGTTTGCAGTCTTTGTCCCCTGAGCCTGTACTCCAATTCTTGTTTTCTATGATCATTCTGATTTTCATACCTTTGCATAAGCTGGGGTTAAATTATTGTTGCCACTTTTCAGACTAGTCCTGTAGCTTGTCCAGGTCCATTTGTGGTCTTCCGTCGTCCTCTTCTGTTCGTATTCTGTTTTTTGATTTCACATCTGCGAACATGGATACCCATGACTCTATTTCCGTCAGAAGAAATAGTACGCGTCCCAGCACTGACCCTTGTGGAACCGCACTCATCACATCCATTCCGACATTTCACAGACAACTCGTTTCCTTCATTGTAGTTCCCTTTCAGCTAGTTATTCCTGCCTGTTTCTCTAGCTGTTGTCCCCAGTCTTCTGTGCAATACTGCGTTAAGTTTCCATCTATAGATCAATAAAATGCAGTTCATTCTTTCTCTTCTTTCTGTTTCCACTCTTCTGCGACCTTTTCTGAGAACTAAAGCAGGTTTGTGAGGAGGAATTTACCATATCTGAAACCGTTCCTTTAGCTGCAGCATCATAGGTCATATTTTCTGGGACTAGTTTCACTGCAAACTCTTGCACCTCAGATTCTTCATATGCTTTTCCAGATGAGGGTTTCATACTGGCGCTGTGGACTCCATGATGAGCCTGACATATACCGTGTATAAAGTCATGATTGACTCCTTGTTGATGATTCTGAAAGTTACTCTTAAATTTGTCGGTATAGCGTACGATGTAGCGATTACTCGGTTGAAGCGTGACTCAGGTGAAATGTTCGGAACTATGCTTACCCCGAGGTCCTTATCTTTCAGTGGTTTACAGCTTTTGTATGTGTGTGTGTGTGTGAGTGTGTGTGTGTGTGTGTGTGTGTGTGTGTGTGTGTGTGTGTGTGTGTGTGTGTGTGTGTGTTGTGTGTGTGTGTGGTGTGTGTTGTGTGTGTGTGGTGTGTTGTGGTGTGTGTGGTGTGTGTGTGTGTGTGTGTGTGTGTGTTGGTAGTTTGTATTTGTTGTGTTATGTAAGTGTGTATTGTCGTTGTGATCTGTTAATGAACTTTTGATGGTTTGGTGAACTCTATGTATTCTATCACTTACTTGTAGTTATAAAAAGATGGAATTAAATTCTAGTTTTCATTTAGCTCTGGAACCTCGCCGTTTTTTCAACATTAGTAAGACTTGTATGCTGTGTTTTGATTCTGTTGATTCCATGATTCCTTACGTGAATACTGTGTTTCTATCACTGCATGGAATTATTCTTTCCGTTACTCTAAAATTTTCAGATTTTATACTCAGGACGATATTTTTTTTTCCAAAAACTTGTCAATCATTAATCTGTAGTCTATTATATCATTTAAGCTACATAATATAGATTTATCCATATTAACTACGTATACTATTGTACTATGCAACTACTGATATATATTATATATATATATATATATATATTATATATATATATATATATATATATATATATATATATATATATATATATATATATTATGCAAAACAACCACTCTGAAAGCGCTTGGAATTTCTCTATTTTTTCAGAGTGGTTGTTTTGCATATTCTGAAATCACCTGTTTACTGTGATCTTATTGCATATATATATATAATATTATAATATATATATATATATAATATAATAATATTTAATTATATATATATATATATATATATATATATATATATTTATATATATATATAATATATATATATATATATATATAAATTAATATAATATAATTAATTGCCCTCTTGGCATTTACCAACAACAGGCTAATCTTGAGAACCTGGGAGAGTTTAAGAAAGCACTTAACTATGGAGAGACCAAAGACATCGCCAACTTCACACAGGCTCTCACACAAGCCTTTGAACTTCTACATCGGGTAAGTAATGACGGTCTTTTGCTGATTTTATATTCTCTGTATCCCCTTCTTTTTCCCGTTCCTTTTGTGCCCCATTCTTCTCACTTTATCTTTGTCATGTCATCTCATCCTTGTCACATCAACCTTGTCATCACCTCATCCTATAAATATTATCTCTAGTGTTGATTTATATTTAAAAAAATATGCATAATTTATAACTTATTCATATTCTGAGATTATTTGATATATATATATATATATATATATATATATATATATATATATAATATATATATATATATATATATATATATATATATATATATATATATATATATATATATATATCATTCTCAATCATTTACTGAGTTTATATTTTTTCGGGTTTTTTATAGGGTGAAGGGTATATATGTATTTTTTTCTGCGCAGAGCTTTAAAACTGTAATGGATATTCGTTTTTTTTATGATTTTTCATCAATATTATTCCCTTACGTTCTGTGTTTTGAGAAAAATTTTCTGAATTTGTTTCAGTTACAACTAACAAAGATGAAAGACAAGATTTTCTTGATAGGGAAATAATAAGTTCCAATTTTTGTTAGTTTTGTATCCTTGTTTTTTCACCCGTTTGTCCCTCAGCCAGTTAATAACGTCCTTCACCTACCCACCTAACTACCTGGGTATTTAACACCACTGAATCATTCTGTCTGTTTAACTACACTTGTTTTGATTATCTATCATACCTTACCCTTCATTCACTGTCTCCCTTGTTCACATCCATTTTCTCATTCTCTTCCCTTGCACCTTCCCTCTCATTACAAAATCGTTTACAATCCTTGCCTCAGACATTTAGAATATACACGATAGGTCTTGATCCAGATAGAATTAGATAGTCTTGAGCAGACAGCTGTGTTTTGGACTTGAAAGTTCTCTGCTGTCTGTTAGCTTATACTCCCGTACACCTTTGTACTCTTCTCTCAGCCATCTATGTCACCCTACACCCACCCTCTCATCCCACGTCCATCTGTTCCCCTCCACCCTCCCTCTTACCTGCACTCACCCTCTCAGATCTCACCCTTAACCACCCTCTCAAATCTCACCCTCCGCTCACCCTCCTAAATCTCACTCTCCACCCACCCTCTCAAATCTCACCCTCCACTCCACCCTCTCAAATCTCACCCTCCCCACCCTCTCAAATCTCACCCTCCGCCCACCCTCTCAAATCTCACCCTCCCCCACCCTCTCAAATCTCACCCTCCATCCACCCTCTCAAATCTCACCCTCCACCCACCCTCTCAAATCTCACCCTCCACCCACCCTCTCAATCTCACCTTCCACCCACCCTCTCAAATCTCACCCTCCACCCACCCTCTCAGATCTCACCCTCCACCCACCCCTCTCAAATCTCACCCTCCACCCACCCTCTCAGATCTCACCTTCCACCCACCCTCTCAAATCTCACCCTCCACCCACCCTCTCAATCTCACCCTCCACCCACCCCTCTCAAATCTCACCCTCCACCCACCCTCTCAATCTCACCTCCACCCACCCCTCTCAATCTCACCTCCACCCACCCCTCTCAAATCTCACCCTCCACCCACCCTCTCAAATCTCACCCTCCACCCACCCTCTCAAATCTCACCCTCCACCCACCCTCTCAAATCTCACCCTCCCCCACCCTCAAATCTCACCCTCCACCCACCCTCTCAAATCTCACCCTCCACCCACCCTCTCAAATCTCACCCTCCACCCACCCTCTCAATCTCACCTCCACCCACCCTCTCAAATCTCACCCTCCACCCACCCTCTCAAATCTCACCCTCCACCCACCCTCTCAAATCTCACCCTCCACCCACCCTCTCAAATCTCACCCTCCACCCACCCTCTCAAATCTCACCCTCCACCCACCCTCTCAGATCTCACCCTCCACCCACCCTCTCAAATCTCACCCTCCACCCACCCTCTCAAATCTCACCCTCCACCCACCCTCTCAAATCTCACCCTCCACCCACCCTCTCAGATCTCACCCTCCACCCACCCTCTCAAATCTCACCCTCCACCCACCCTCTCAAATCTCACCCTCCACCCACCCTCTCAAATCTCACCCTCCACCCACCCTCTCAAATCTCACCCTCCACCCACCCTCTCAAATCTCACCCTCCACCCACCCTCTCAAATCTCACCCTCCACCACCCTCTCAAATCTCACCCTCCACCCACCCTCTCAAATCTCACCCTCCACCCACCCTCTCAAATCTCACCCTCCACCCACCCCTCTCAAATCTCACCCTCCACCCACCCCTCTCAAATCTCACCCTCCACCCACCCTCTCAAATCTCACCCTCCACCCACCCTCTCAGATCTACTCACCCACCCTAATTCACCCCACCACCTCTCAAATCTCACCCTCACCACCCTTATCTCACCCCACCACCCTCTCAGAATCTCACCCTCCACCCATCCTCTCAGATCTCACCCTCCACCCACCCTCTCAAGACTTAGTCCATCCCAACAGATTTCTTTACTTATTCCCAATAAGATTAAATGATTTTGAGCCTTTTGCACTAGATAACATATTAATTGAAGCTCATTCCTCATGATTTATTTTCAATATCAATAGAATATAATAATGACATTAGCTTTAGTTTTATCCTACAATCAGTATTTGACCTGATTTTACTCTCTCTCCTCTTAATTTATAAATTTTAGTGATTTATAATTCATATTAGTATGAATTGTGCATTATTTTAATTAAAGAAGATATAGATTTGCTATATATATATTTTATTATATATAATATTATGATATAATATATTTATAATTATATTTTTTTATATTAATAATATATAAAATATATTATATATATATAATATATATATATATATATATATATAATATATATATATATATATATATATATATATATATTATATATATATATATATATATGTATATTTTATATATATATATAATATATATATATATATATATATATTATATATATATATATATATATATATATATATATATATATATATATATATATATATATATTATTATAATTTAATGTTTTTACATCTTGGAATACCATCTGTAAGGTCTTGTAAACCAGTAAATATTTTTTACGTAATCATGTGTATTATGTTTGTTGCTTTGCAGTGATAAAGACCCCAAAATGAAAGACCTTGTATGACAGACGTTCGCTCGCTTTGATTTTATGATGTTTTTTTTTCAGTTTGTTTTTTCCTAGTTAGTTGGAAGACCTTGGCTGTAGTGTGCTGCGAGAGGTACATTACACCACTAGTCCACTATATTTCGTCAGTGTGCTACACTACTGTCACTGTTACACCAAATAATCACTGTGGCTTCGTTACATATTCTCTAAACCAGACTACAACCATATCACTATGTTACTCTACTATTACTACACTGTCATCTAAACGCCATTGTTTCATCTTTAAATCACACCAAAACTACCATCTCACTGTCGCTACTCCAGGATATCACCTTCATCCCAGCACAACACAATCACATACTACACTGCCATCACCACATCAGTCTACACTCCCATCATATCTCGGCCACTGCCATACTACACCACAAACTATCATCACCATAATGTTTCACACCATCATCACCACCACTCCCACTACCTTCACCACCACCAGACCATCACTACACCCCTCACTATATAAACACACGGGACACACACACAGACACACTACACCACCAAGCTCAGGGACACTAATGTCGAGGTCTGGTTGCTCACACATCACAACAAACGACATTTTCTTTTTAACTGTCGCTCTCTTAACTTTTCTGTTGATATTTCTTTCTTTCTTTCTTCTATATATATATATATATATATATATATATATATATATATATATATATATATATATATATATATATATATATATTATATATATATATATATATATATTCTCTTCTTCTTTCCCGTCTCTAATTCTTAATGAAATTAAGGGAGTTCGTAGATCTTGCAAAACTTTACAGTTAACGTTGTCATAAAATAGTAGAACGAATTTTAGCGACAAATCACATTAATTTAAGTAAACACAGAGCCGCTTCCCGGAGGAGAATGGGGGGAAGTGGACAGGAGAGGCATATATACCAACTTTTTTTTTGGGGGGGAGGGGTGAACTCTTCACTTTCCCTTGTTCATTTGTAAACTAGTGAGCTGCTCGTTACTTCTGAAACCAAGCCAGAAGTTACCTTGCAGTGGACATAAGAATTGTTGCATCTTCCCTCGTTTATTCTCCTGTCTTCGCTCTTCCTTCCTCTTAACTCCACTTTTCTTTCATTCACTTTTCCCATTTCACCTCGTTCTTTTTTTTTTTTACCCACTTAATTCTTCTTTCTCTCTTCCTCCTTTCTCGAAACTCTCAACGACTTGCTTCTCCATCGTCGTGTTGCGAAGAAACAGATTTCCTTATGACTTGTTTACTGAAGATGTCGTAAAAAAAATAGTGAAATATTTAACGACCAACAGTTTCATTTTCTCGAGTTACCCCTGACCATCTCTCTCTCTCTCTCTATCTCTTTCTTTCTTTCTTTTAAGTTCTTAAATTCCATTTTCATTAAAATCTCTTCCTCAAGTACACAGACTGAATATGATTTTTGTAGAGAGTAGCTATGTTCTTTAAGCAGATAGTCTTGACATAGACTGTAAAGTCATCTGCTACCTGCATTTCCCATTTACTCTCTCTCTCTTTCTCTCTCTCTCTCTCTCTCTCTCTCCTTTTCCATGTTTATATACAGTCGAGAGGAGCCTGACTGCTATGCCTTTTGTTAAGTAGATAACTTACTTTTGTTTTTTGACATTTAATCATTATCTTACTGTTATTCTCACACATCAGTTGTGCTGCGTCTGTGACTCTTAAAACCACTGAATCAAAATTAATATTTATATCTTCGTGATAATAATGCAAAAATAATAATTACAGTCATTATTATTCTGAAACAGGATGACTGATAGTTGAAAGCGGAAGAATTAGACACTTTTGT